ATCCTATCCTATCCTATCCTATCCTATCCTATCCTATCCTATCCTATCCTATCCACAGAGCATCTGTATTGGGGAAACCATCTATGCTGGCAGATCTCTGTGTGGCTTAGAACGTGTCTTAGGAGACTGCTCTGACTGAGAGGCAATGTAGAAATTGGATGAAAATGTGTACTTATGTCTTTTATGTAGGCATCCATGTTCCATGTACTGAATAGAGTTTCAGGTGGGGTCAGTGAAGAGTCCTAACTATTCATTTGTGCAAGGAAAGCTGTAGAATAATTTCAGTGCTGCACAAGGTTCTCCTAGTTACCTAAGGCTGAGTTACACAAACATACCTTCTAGATGGCCTTAGCATCAAGTGATGATTTTAATGTGTGAATAAGACATGACAAATATAACTCAATATAAAACTTCCATAGCATTTCTTCACACTTGGTTGAATCATTTCAGACATTTGCACATTCCTCTGGTGTTGAGAGATATGTAATATGCATGGCAAAAATGAGCCAACCCTTAGTAGATTTTGAATACAGGTTTATCCCATCGTTACTATTTCTATGAACTAATGGATGTTTGGGGAAGGGGTGTTAATTTAAAAAAAATTCAAATTTATTATTCCATTTCATTAGTTTATGAAAGTTCATATTGGTGTGTGCTGCAGTGGAGCCATGACAGGATGGATTGTCAAATGAATTCCACAAGTCATCTTGAACACATGGGCTTTGTCATAGATGAGAAGCATCCATGCTTGGATGTCTTCTAGAAAACAGAGGCACGAGTTTCATGCCTCGGGAGGAATCTTCTACATGAAATGCAATGTTACACTGTGTCACCTACAAAGATCGTTGACCTCAGAAGGAACATCATGACATTGTCCTGTAATGATCATTTAAAGGGATGGAAACACCTAAGACAGGCTTGTTTGTTACTTTCTGTTAACTTGTCTGTGGAATTCTGTCTTCTCATCAGGTGACCTTGAAAGGCTCAGCATGGTGGATGCCGGATTTCCAAAAGTCACCGACCTCAAGGCCTTTCCTCAGCTTTGTCCAGGAGGGGAAATCCAATGCTATTGTGTGGACCCCAAATACCAAAGCAATTTAGTCTCTAAAAGTGGGAATGATGTGTATCCTTACCCTAGTCCTCTTCATGCTGTTGCTCTACAGAGTCCCCTTTTCTCCCTGGCAGGGCTCCCCTCAGAAACAGAGAGCCGCCCTTTGCCTAAAAAAGCTGTGCCTCACCTCACTGGGCCCAGCTTGATTAAGACTCAGCCACTTATGGAACTCAGGCCAGGGGGCTATATCAACAAACTGCTGCAGCTGACGCGCAGCAAAGGAAGCCATCCCGCCGAACCCAGCGAGAAGGGTCCAGCAAAGAACCAGCCACTCACAATGCTCCAGAGACTCATTATTATCCCCAGTCCTGGTGGAGTGAAAATTAACAGCAGTAGCAGCCAGCTGGAAAAACAGGGGGCCTCCCTGCCTTGTAATAAAGGCGAGGGGAAGCCACCAAGGGACATGCCTGAAGGGGAATGTGCCAAACAGCTGGAGACTCTGCATTGTGTGAATATAGAGCAGACAGCTTCGGTGACTCACGCAGAGTCTTCACCAGCTGGGAATGACTGTTATCCTACTAAGCCATCTGTGTGGGACTCTCCTGTAACTGAAGCTGGGGAAAGCAGCCTGGAACGCAGCTCTTCCAGCTCACAGTTTGGAGTCGAGGATTCCAGCTTGAGCCTCCCAAACGTGTGGGTGGCTTCAGCCAAAAAGTCTCACAAGAAGTCACTTAGAGCCATAAAGCCTGGAGATCACGAGTCCGTGCCTCAGGAGGAGTTGGCTCACACTAAGTGTGTCCCTACCGAGTCCCACCAAGTTCGGGTCAGGTTTGCTAACTCTAAAATGAAGTCTGTGAAGATGAAGAGGAGGAATAGCGAGAAGATGCTGAGGCCGGGGAGGCAGATGGTTTATGTGGAAAAGCCACGTGGGGTTCACCAGCTTGCTGCCAAATTGCCTCTTGAGTGGAGTCTGTCTCAGAGACAGCTCAGGGGAAGGCATCTAGTTCGGAGGCCTACCTTTGCAGGGGAAAGCACCGGGAGATCTTGCTCAGAGTCCAGTCTGTATCCTGTGCCATTCGGGATCCCTCAAGCACTGTCCAGGTCTGAACTATACAGAGCGTCTGCTAATGCCATGTATTCTCTTGAAGCAGCTTATTCTGACCCAACCACCAAGAAAAAGCAGCGCAAATGGCAGTCCACAGTGGAGATCTCAGCAAAAACCCAAGTCTCTAGCCTTTCTAGCAGCCTTGCCTTGGGACCACCAAAACTTCAAGGGAGGAGAGCTGGGATTCTGCGTACTGTCACCATGAGAGCCGAGTCAAAGAAATGCCACCCCCTTCATCCAGGGGCTTATGCCAAAAGCGAGTCCGACCATTCAGAGTATTCTGCTGAATGTGCGTCACTTTTCCACTCCACCATTGCAGAGACCAGTGAAGGAGAAATTAGTGACTATACAACCAACCGCTTTGGGGACAGTGAATCCAGTGACAGTGATTCAGAGGGTGGCAGCAGCAGCAGCGGCAGCAGCCTGACTCTTGATTATGGTGATGAGATCCATGAGCATGAAATGGTCTGGCCCACATCTACCGGCAAGCAGGCAGCAGCCACTCAAGTCTTGGCCAAGCCTCTCCCACCAGTGCCCAAACTCTGCCGCATCAAAGCATCAAAGGCTCTCAAGAAGAAAATTAGGAGATTCCAGCCGACCTCCCTGAAAGTGATGACCATGGTTTAAAAGGAGAGGGAGACTGCTTGATCAGCTGCTTGCATTCCCGTTTGTAAAGCCAAGGAAGACTGGTACTGTAAAGGATTCTCAGATCCTAGATTTCAAGTCAAGGTTGTTGGATTTTGGTTTTGCATTTGTTAATGCCTGTCTAAGTGACACTGTGTCCCTGATCTCTTTTTTCTGTTTCGTAAGTGTGCTTCCGTGGCTTCATACCTACCCTACTTCATCCCATTCTAATAGCTACTAAGTGTTTAGATGATATGCCCCTTTCATCCAAGCCCCGATGAATTGAGGGAAGAATGCATAGTCTGTAATGCATGGGGGGGTTCCCAAGGTTACCAGGTGTGTTTGTGTGTGTAAGATTGCTTTCTTGCCAAAGGTGACATTGCAGTATCTTTCTTGGAAGACCACTCATTGTCAAAGGAGCTCATCTTCTCATTTTCTCTTTCCCCATAGTCATCCATGTTAATGGGCAGCAAGGCAAGATACAGATTGGGGAAATAATAATAATCATAATCACTTCACATTGCTTACTCAGTAAAACGTGTCCATTTGTTTCAGTTTTCTGGGGTCAGAAAGTTGTGCATGGCTCAGAGGAAGGCTTGGATGTGATTCTTGGCCATTTCTAAATTCAGAAGATTAAATAATGTTCTATACTATATAATACCATCTTTTGATATTGAGATGTTTGCATCTTCTTGAGTGGGTAAACTGCACTCCAAACACTGTGCCACAGCACGTTACCAACTCAGATTTATTGCAGGCTCAATAAATGTTATGATCTACAAAAGTAAAAAGCTGTCTCACTTTCTTTAAAAGAAGGATTGTCCTAATTTTGTTTAGAGGCTGCTCAGCGTTACTTCAGTGTACCAAGCTTTTTCTAAGTGGCTATGTTTTGAAATGAACTGTGGGCTACATGAGTGATAAATAACACTTGGTCCCTAAACTGCTAAGGCCACGTGTACTCCTGATGTGATTGTATTCTTTTTAGAGGAGTGATATTCCTAAAATCTGGATGCTGCATTTAAGGACCATGGCTGGTTTCAGTGCTGCAGCAAAGATTTTTCTTTTAGTGCACCGATAAAATACATGGACAAACGTACCCAAATTCATGTGATAAATTTTAGATTAATATCCCTAAATTTTTCTGGCTGATGGAAAGATTTGAAATTTTAAAAGTACATAATAGCACTTCTCACCATGTCTGCTATGGGTCAAGTTTATCCATTCACAGAATGGGTGCAATTGGCCACTAATAAGCCACAAAAAGCTAATATGCTGGAAAACTCTTTACCACCCTCTCTAGTTGTCTCCTCACACTCATCCTTGGCAAGGATGTTCCATTAACATTCCTGTTTTCATTTTTCTTGGGTAGGTGATCTACTTTCAAACAAAGTACTGGCTTACATACAAAGACACCCCATTTTTATTTTCTGCAAAAACATATGGGCCCTACTTGAAGTACAGGAGCAACAACAAAGCTGGGAATAAAACATGGTGCTAGTACCTGGTATTTTTGTTTGTCAACGTGCCCAATTCCTACTTGTAAGCACAACATTGGGGGCCCACAGCACTGATTATAGCAATAATATGAGCAAGCTGAGGCTCTTCTTTTTTCATAAAAATGGATCTATTGCTTACGAGGAGCATTTTTTTAAAAAAAAGAGTATGTAGGGCAATTGAAATCAAGGCCAGGAAACAAAAAAGTTTGTGTTCTTTACAGGAGGTATGAAATTCTAGTAGAGGTAAAAGTGAAGACCAAGCAACATAATATGTTATTAGTTCTCTGTTATTTTAGCTGAAATAAATCTAATAAACTCCAAAATTGCACAAAGTGGGGCTGCTAAGAAGAGAGCATTTAGCCTTTTCCTCCCATATTTCTTCTTCCTAGCATTTTCCCACAGATGCAGGGTCCACCCCCCACCCCCCATTTCAACTGAATATTGATGTGTTGGTTGTGACAGGAATTGACCGACTGGCTCATCATCCAAGCCTGACATCATGGGCTGAGAGAGGGTGACTGGCCCAAAGTCACCCAGCTGGCTTCCGTGCCTAAGGCAGGAATAGAGCTCCTGGTTTCTAGCCTGGTGCTTTAACCACTAGACCAAACTGGCTCTCCAAACTGGTGCTTCCTACCATACTAATTCCCAAATTAAACTCACCTCTCCCTCACTTCCTGACTGGGCTACAACTGCTTGGTGGAAAGTGGGTTGAAAACATAAGTCAGAATGATCAAGGAACTGAAACATTTTCCCTGCGAGGAAAGTTTAAAATAATGGAGGTTTTTTAGCCTGCAGTCCTCTACTTTCTTACCTAAAAGAAAGAAATGCATAGTTAGAGAAAATAGAATATTTCCCATTAATCAAATGAAAAGAAACTGTATAAAGACAAACTTTTCTCTTTGTATAATAACATATAAGCCCAGGGACTTTCAATAAAAGTTCCTGATAGCAGACCAAGGATGAAGGAGAAATGTATGGAAGATAGCTCTATCACTGGCTAGTAATCATAATAAAGCCTTCAGTCAGAAGAAGTTTATCACTGAACATCAAATATACCATTGAGTACTGGATGCTGAGAGCAACTATGTGAAGCTGGAGAAGAGGACCTATTGCTTTGGGATTATATTTCTTTTGTATCATAAATAGGTTATCAGGGAAAATCCTAGCTTTCTCTCACATATATAACAAGATGTGCAATTCATGGATCTCCTGTACATCATTCCACCATAAGAGGAAAGAAGAAGTCAAACAGGTCATTTTAATAATTGATTCTCATCATTGGGAGCTAAGAGCTGGAAAATTAAATTGTGCTCTTCAACATGGTGTTCATGATCCATGAAAATCACCCACTTATTAGAAATGGGAGGGAAAATATGGGGCAAATTTAGTTCTACTTCTTGAAAACATTGTTTTTAATGAGATGGACTTCATTGAAAGTATGTCTTAAGGCGGGGTTGTTATATAAATATGGCAACATATAGTTCAGACCACAATGCATTGTGTTAGCCCATCAAAATAATCAGGAGATACCAAGCTGTATTCCTTTAACAAAAATAATTTAAAAAAAAAAAACCCACTGAATCACAACAATGGCAATAAAACAGGTTCTCAAACTTTACAGTGTGATGACCCTCTAAAGTTTCAATTAAGATTGACCTCTCTCATCACCTTGACATTGATGTGAATTAATACTAACATCAATTTCAATTGAGATCAATATCACCTTGATATGAATCACATATTTAGGAATCTCCTCTAAATAATACAGTTTAGAATTGTGTTACTCAGAAAATATCCTGAAAGTAATTCCCTTTCAGATGGGTAGCATTTTTGATAATAAAAAGTTAGAAAAGTTGCTTTACTCAGAACTGAAGACATAAGAAATAAAATGATGTGCCTCTTGGGTGTGTATGGTGAAGTACGAACATTCAGAGAGAATTATTTTTCTTATTTAAGTTGCTTAAGTAAGAATATTGCTGGTTTACACAGATAATTCAAATCAGTTGCAGTGGTGGGGGGGGCACTATTGGAAGAGTTGAAGGACCAGGTCAGGGACAGATTACCGTGGAGAAAATCCATCTGTGTGGTCGACAATGACTTGATGGCATGTAATCAATCAAAAAAGGCTTTCTTAGTTAACAAGCATCAACTACAGTCCTAAACTAACTTCTGCTTAGAAGTGCGTTGATGATGTAATATAATTTTGTGGCCAGAGTCTTACTGAACTGAATAGGAATATGTACACATAAAAATTTGCTGGACGTGTTCATTCATAAAATATAATTATGCACATCAATTCTATTAAAAAGGAATCAATAGAAATTGAATTCTTCCTTGGGTGTTTTAAGTCCAAGTATTTTCAATAGCATGAGCGCGGCTAAGTCTGTACCTCACATTTTTCCCACTCTATCTGAAAAAGCAGAAAAAAGATAAAGTTTTGGTTCAGCTGCTCAAATATATACAGAAATTTAACAGGTTCTCTTTTACTGGAACAGCTAAGTAACATTCCTTTTTTAAGATCAACCAGTGAGCTTCATGTCAAGTGATTTCACTCTCAGTGTCTTTACTCCATATTGTTGTCCATATATAAAATACATTGGTTTATATTAAGGACCTAAAGCAACATAAGAAAGCCCAGGCCTGCAACTGCCTTTATCTCTTTCCAGTGGTGTCACAAGTACTAGTAGGCATTGGTCTGAGGTGTAAGGAGCCATGGAGAAGACATCCAGAAACTGTTAGGACAACAGCTGCAGAAGGCGCATACATGAAGCCCAGGGGGGTAGGAAAGTATTACAAAGAGTCTTAGACTGGCTCCCCTGATTCCCTGGGGTATAAGAGGGAGGGAAGGAGAAATGCAGGGAGATTTGCAAGATTCTGTTACTATAGGCCTATCCCAATAAGTATAGTTCTAGTCATCCTATGGAATGAGTTTCCTGGTTCGTCTACTTTGTAGGGCTTACAGAGGCCTCTAGAACCCAATTATATCCCAGATGAAAGCATGACAAAGGTTTCTCTCCCCCCTTTTCTCAACATCTGTGCTGCATAGCAAAGCTCTAGATATATTGCCATCTTTATTGGTCCAGCATATCTTTGGACCAAGATATCAACAACACAATATCCATGGGTTCCTTGGCCTCCCAACAACCCTACAAAGAGCCTTTGACCTCCATCTGTTCATCCATTCATCCGTTCATTGAGGTTATAGGCTGCTTTAACTGTACACAACACTTAGGAGCAGAGATCTCTGCAAAATTTGTTTTGCAAATGTTTGAGATCTCTGCAACATTTCACAAAATCACCCAACACATCCAGTGCTGGAAAAAAGCTGTGGACTCCTGCTCTGGACCTGAAGTAATTGTAAAAACTTTGAACCAGACCTGGAGGAACCCAGGTTCAAATGAATCCTGAGTCATGGAAGTTCATTAAATGGATTATCTCACACGCCAATCTGGTGGTTGTTGTGGGGAAGAATTGGAGGAGGGAGTGCTATATGTCTGGAGGAAAGGCTGGATATAAATCTAACAAAGAGGCAATAAGGATGATAAGTGCAATTGATGTCTTGCTCTGCAACATTCCCACTAAAAAAAAAGTTAAAAAAGAGAAAGAGAAAGAGGTGTCACTGGTGCTGCAATCACCTGTCAATAGAAATGGAGATGGAGAATCCAGGTGGCAGATCTCTCTTTTTTCTCTATGTCTCTAGAGCAGTGTTTAAGAGGTGTGGACTTCAACTCCCAGCCTGGGGAATTGTGGGAGTTGAAGTGCACATGTCTTAAAGTTGCTAAGGTTGAGAAACACTGCTCTAGAGAGAGGGAGAGGAACAGGAAGAGGAAGAAGAGAAAGAGATTGACACTTGCTTTGGGACATGGGAGGAGAACTAGAGATAGTTATGGAGGAGAAAATGGGGAAATGAAATGCCTAGGATGGAATATGCCTGGTAGGGAGAAGACAACGTATCTTCAGCCCTGCACACTGTGTGATGCAGAATCTAGATAAAACTTTGGTTTGATCCTTCAAGGCTTTCTGTTCTAAAGAGGCAGTCACAGGGCAAACCTTTCATACCTTTCCAATTTGGGCCAGGACTCATGAATTTGAAAATCCACAAAAGTTGTTTAGGAAATGCATTGTTCAATTGAATTAGTGATTCCTTTGCTACGTCTAGCACCCAGCCAGTCACATTTCAGGTAGCGTTTTTTGCAGCCATTTCATTAACAAATG